GGCTTTCGTTACAATATACGCTTTTTAATACTGACGAGCAGTAACTGTTGCTCCCATAGAAACCAAGCAGTAAAATACTTCGCGGTGAACAAACTTGTGTCACGTTTATCGTTTGTACTAGGGAACGTCGTCGGTTAGTTTGGAGAAAAGCGTCGAGACAATAAGTACGCATGTGGTAATTTTACAAGACCTAACTGGACTTCGGGAAATAATCGGGAGGCAGGATCTTACCCGTCACAAATTTTTTCTACTCGGCTTTTCAGCTGTTCGCCTTGGAAGAATATGATGAACATGCACTTGTTTAACGGTTCACCCTAAAATAGAAAGTGGCAAAAATCACTAGAAGAGTTAACTTTAAGTAAATGTAAGTGGTAGAACAACATTGTTCTGGCGTCTCATCACTTCATCCATTTTGATTGTAACCAATTTTCTCAGGAGGGCGGATGACAGGCTGTCGGATTAAGTTTAGACAAAAACTGTGAAGATAGCACAAACTGTGTTGTGCTCAGACTCGCGCTGGTGGTACTTTCCACGCAGTGCGGGACACGGTTATGTCATTCCACCGGTACTCGCTGGTGGGCTCGCACCCGAAAATCAAAAGCAGTCTTCGTGTTGTATTTTACGGACAGTGGTAGTTGCGGACGAATCTCTCTGGATGGCAGCTTGTTGAAGGAGTTACTTTTGATGAAATTGATCTCACAAAGCATCGTATATGTGAAACAAAAGCCTGCCATCACTGGGAAAATTAAAAAAGTGAAACTGTCCGACATGATTAAGGGCGCTTGCACAGCTGCTTACCTCGTAACTATAATGACCATTAGGGTAAAATGGGTTGAGGAACGCATGATAAGTCACTTACAAATGTGCGGAATACAGGGTGACCATGAAGGCATTTAGTGATACCGTAAAGCAGAGGAGTGCAGAAATGTTCGTTGAAAGATAGTAAGGAAGCCTCGATATACGATGAAAAACGCATGAAACATTGGTATTCGAGGTTTTCAATATTGCACACGCGACCCGTCTAGGGTGTAAGGAAGCTGCGACAACGTGGGGAGAAACCCAAAGCTCTCCATGCAGCTGAAACACGTGATTGTTTTTGCGTCCTCCTAATGAGAATTTTTTTCAGTTTCTCCGCCTACAGATCCCGATGACGCCCTAATCTAGTGCTTTAGATTCTAGCAAACAAACTTGTACGCACCGTCACTTCCTTTTCCAAGCAATTAGGTCTACCAATGGGATCTTGTGTTGGTGTCCCATCGTAGTTCCCTGTCTCGTGTATTGCACGCCGCGCTCTACCGTTCTGCGGATGGGCAAGGACAGTGAGAAGTGAAATGAAGCCTATACATGTTAGAGGTACTTCACATCTCATGCGGCCCTGGCCTTAGCCAAGCACAACGCAAAAAAAACAGTCCGTAGTAGTAACGAGGAACATTTTCAGTGTCGCGGCTATATATGAGACGAAAGTGATGACAGTAAAATGTCAAAAACAGTAAGGTCGAGTCCTCTTGAAGTTGAAAAGAAGACATCGAAAGTCCTGCTACGTACCGTGACAGGATCTTCGACGCTTTCGATCTCAGCGTGTCGAAGGAAAACGTTGCCGCGGCAGGCACGCCAAAGCATTCTCTCGAAGGCGAGAAGACGGTCCCTGAGGATTACACCCGCCACAAAGCTAAAGCATGCAAGAGGCTTAAAAGTGGTTGTTCTATCGTCCAATATGGTCGAATTCCACAAAAGTCAAAAGCAAGGTGTGATGAATCATAAGGCAGTGCTGGGAGGTGGAAATCAACAAATCGAAGGGGAGGCTCACTCACTCAACGTGCCGACTGTATGCAGACTGAGTGCCTCCGCCACGGAATAAAACTTCGTAGTCGTCAGTCCGAGAATCCAGGTCAAAGTCACTAATTCATCAAAATTTATTTCACAGAAGGGTTTTCAAATAAAGAGCAGAGCTCGTATGAGGTGTGCAGGCGCCTGACAAAGGTTAATTCAGGCGGTAAAGCAAAAGATTGAATGGAGTTAGCTGGAAAAACGGTAGAAAGACAAAAACTAAAGGCAAGACCCACCCAACCCGTAAGGCCTTGCGTTCGGCAGATCCTGGGTCCTCAATAAGCATCACCTCTGGAGTCTGAACCGTCATGTTTACTTCGTAATGAGCCTAAATTAAAAGCAAAGCACCGGTTTAAGGAAACAAGAACAGTGCCGGGCAAGACTGACGGAGGGAACTAAACATATATCACGGTTGGGTTATCGGGTGGTGGGGTGGTGGCCTTTTGGTCTGGTCCCATGCAACTTGTTATGGGGATGGAAAAAGCACAAATACAAAACTCAAACGTAAACAGCGCCAAACTGCTAGGGATCAACCGAAAAAGTGCCTTTGAGGACGGCGTATTTGCATGGGGATCGTCGGCAACACGTACTGTTGGCTCAGCTTTGTTTGGTCAAAGCATAAAACGGAAAGTAGACCTAAGGGGCTAATAGATATTTTTTCACTGCTTGAACCTCGGTGGAAGGTTCACGAGACCACAAAAAACGACTAAAAAGTTGAACTAGAGAGCAAGGAACCCGGATTAAGGTGTTATTATGCTTGTATGTAAATCAATACGTCCATTGTTGTGGCAAATTTCATGATAGTAAAGCGCTTATCAGAGTCCATGAGACCACAGAAAACAAAGGGCCAACTCGACAAAACAGCTCGTTAGTGAAAAATTAACAAAGCCTACCAAGATCTACGTTATAGAGAAATCCGCTTTTCGAAAATTACGTGTGCATAATTAATAGGACAGTGAGGAGTAACTAACCTCTTCAAAGAAGACTTGCGCTCGACGGAGTACGAACTTAACTTCCGTAAGTTCCATAAAAGTTTGCTTCAGCTGGCTGACACTAAGATTGACCTCCTTCAACTCATTTTCGAGTTTTTCAAGAGTTGACTCGAGCTCAATCATTTCCCTTGGTGGTGGAGACTCTGGGATATCGTCAGGCTCCAAAATAGGTAGGCCTTCTTTCACAATTTCCCCCTCAATATAGCCTAGTAGTCACGAAAATGGAAGAGCTGAAGGAATGAACTTACGCAACTTTCGTTCCATTTCGTCACAGCGGCGAACTTCATCTACAAACTTCCGTTGGAAAGCATTGACTTCTGGGTTTGTCTAGCAGAAATGAATTTAGATTTCTGACTTACGTCACGGATCTGCACAACGCCAAGCTCGCCCAGTTCCGCAATACACATATAGGCAGAATCCGTATGCAGGATGAGCTGAGATAGCTGCATCTCCTCCGAGCGAAATAGAGACCCCATGTTTTACTTTTTGCAGGAAAGTCTCGACGTCTGGTAGAACGGGCGCCAGTAAAAAGGAAGACAACCCAATCTTTGAAATACCCGCTCAACAGAATTGTCATTCCAGTTTGGCAAGGTGGAATGAATATTCAGTCTAAGTTCAAAATCCGAGTATATATAATACTGTCAATGATAATGAAGATCCTCAGACTACTTGTCATCCTTTGGTGACAATTTCTGTTGTAGACAGACTCAAGGCAGCATTGCATAGCAATGAACTATGCAGGGTGTTGTTAACAGCGATTGCCAAGCCGAGAAACTTGGCGTGCCGTCACACCCGGCTCAGATCCCACAGATTGAAAGTCTCATGGATGCCGCATTACCAAGGGGCCATTTCAGCTGGACCCTCAATCCACTAGTCGGCCATTTCATACAATCACACACTAGCCTGGCTGCGGGACCCGAGTTATCTGATCAGTTGGAAACCTTCCAAATCACGACTTTTAACAAAATCTAATTGATTCTAGCGCGTCATATTGTCTGTAGTGAGGTAAGTGCGCTGAATAGTTGATGGCACTCTTTATTTCCATCACAAGAAACAATCCTCAGTCCAAGCTGGTCGGTTGTCCGACGCCGGAAGTGAGCGGAATGGCTGCCAGAGCTAGAAAGCACACACACGCGCGATAATTCGACCGTCGCATTCGACGATATCCACCGTGTGCCCCACAGCAGTGGTGGGACCAGGGACGGTGACTTGCGCAGGGGCTTATAGTGCCATTAAACTGGCGCTGCATCAACCACACTTTATCCTACTCCCCCTCCCCCCCCCCCTGAGAACGGGGTCAAGACAGAGTCAAGAAGACCGGATACGAGGGAGGCCGCAGCTGCATGGCTTGGACGGATCCTCACCTTGGCGCTCCACTCCGCACCCACTGGTCCACACAACAAATTACCAGGATCTTCCCCAACACTACACAGATTGGAGGCTGGCACGGCCAAAACCGCATCTTGATGTGCCGCTAACGCCTGGCTCAGATCCCACACTGCGGGAGTGCCATAAAGGAGCACATTAAGAAGGGGCCATTGCAGTCTAACTCTCAGACCTCCAGTCGAGGAGGTCCAAATTATCCCGTCAGTTGGCAACGTTCCAACCCTATAGTGAGGATAAGTGTGCTGAGTCGTCGACCTCACTCTCCCTTCCCATTCCCACACCCCAGCCACTGTCCGAGCCGGTCAGCAAACAGGAGTGGAAAATGGGCACGGTGGCTGACATGGTCGACTGACCATGCCTACGTGCGCCACATGCACGACCTGGCCCCTCAGACACACACACACAACAGGATTTCACTCAACGGGGGCTAAACGGCTTGCCTCTCACTTGCGGGAGAGGGCCGATGAAGGTGCTGTTTCAGGCCGTCTCCCAGCCCACCAGTCCGTCACTCCACACAACACACACACACACCACACAGCGGGACGGACTGCGTGGGCCGAGTAGGGGCGTCAATCAACAGCCTTCCTTTTCAGGACGCTGGACGTGTCGGTACTCAAGTCGTCCGTGCAGCTTAAGCCGAGTCGAGGTGCACACTTCCCACTTGCGTGGGAGGTGGCAGTTGGGTGCTTGCGGTGGATGAGTGTTGATGTGTGGTGGGGCAGGGAGGGTGTGGTTCTACCGGTGGTTGTCTACCGCGTGTCCTCGTGGATGCGCATGTGGCCGAATAGGTCCATGCTATGCGAGCAAGTGCGAGGACAGTGCGGGACAGTGGAGGCGAATGCAATAAGTGTAGGTTGATGTTCCGGGTACGAATTCGCCAGTCTCTGTGTGATGGATTCGCAAGTGACCGACCAGGCCGATGTGTGAGGTGGAGGTGCGGTCGCAATGACAGCAGTTGTAGACCTGGTCCTCACCTCCGGAGTCGGAGGTCGTTGTGGTGATATCTGTTGTTGTGTCGGGGATGTGAGCAATGTTTTCGTGCGTGACAGTTGCCAGAGCAGCCGTCGTTGGGATAGCGGAGAAGGAGGAGGAGGAGGAGGAGGAGGAGGAGGAGGAGGAGGACGGGGATGGAAGTGGTGGTTCAGAAGAGCAGTCAGAGTTAATTTGCAGCGGAGATGACGAGGAAGATGCGGGCGGAGGGACGACGGTTGGTGCGGTCCGAGAGGTGCAGTTGATCCGAAGGTGTCTAATAAGTCCAATTTGTTCCCGGAATATGCGTTGGCACCGAGGACAAGTTGGAAGCGGTTGTGCGTCGGCGTTGCGTACTGGGCGTAACTGTGATTTGCCTGCCTCGCGTTTCGCTTTGGCGGCGGCGATGCGGTTGGCTTCATATATCGCGGCGCCTGTCTTCACTGTTCTCCACCAGGTCACTGGGTCGTGAGCGAGGTCATCCCAGTTGGTTAGGTTAATTTGCAGACGCTTCAGGGAGGACTTCAGAGTATCCTTGTACCGACGAATTTGGCCTCCCTGGCGGCGAGAACCCA